AGGCCACTGGAGCCACGTTTCGGGTGCTGCCAGCCCACCTCCGCCCTCTGGCAGCTCATGGGTCTCGCCGTGAGCAGCAGCCACCGAGACCTCCCCCTGAGTCAGACCAGGCTCTGGGCTTGGCTGGGACATAACAGGAATGGTGTCTGCTTCCTCATGGCTGATACTCGCCGCTTCTCTGCACATCATTGTAGGGGCATCACTGATGGCTTTCCCACCCGCCGCCCCACTGAGGGAGCGGTTGGACCAGATGCATCACTGGGTATTTACTCTGATGAGTTTTGGCCTTCAGAAACTCATTTACAAATTCAAAGCTCTAAGGCACTAATCTCTGCTATTCCCTTAGTAGATTAAAATTTAAAATAACAAAAAGAAGAAAGGATGTGAAATGAGAACTGTTCTTACTTTCTTGGAGCAAAATTCAGAGCACATCTCCACCGTCAAATTGGGCTGTATCAAAGAGGCTGGAAAGGTGTCTGTTAAATTTTCTGGAGCTCTAAAACATCCTCGATAGATAACATTCCTCCCTGCAGGGATATGAAATAGGTTTCTCTTGAGAAAACAATGTCCGTAGTATCCTGCCTCTTTCACAAAGAACAATATTAGGTTCAGAAGCTAGAAATAATAAAATAAATTTTATATTCCAAATGCTGTAGAAGTAAGAGAAACCATGATAAACACTAGAAAAATGTGTTGCAAATCCTGTGATATTGAAAGGAGCACACGCCTTTAGCTTTGTACAAACCTCTGAAAGTAGGGCTGCAGCAAAGAGTTTAAATTAAATTCCACCAGTGGAGGGCATTGCTATTGTTTGCAAGTCCCAGTTTTCTTTTGAAGACATGCTTTCCCCTGAAAGACTTAAAAGCCACGATAAAAATCTACAAAGCTTCCCATGATCTGCACCAGAAAAGAAAGGAATTTAAACGAGCCTGAAAGCCCCCACGGGGACCCACCTTCCTGCACAGCTGCGCGGCTGCTGAGCTATCCCTCTCCTCTCCCCTCTCCCTCTCTTTTCAGGCCAAGGGAGTTTGCTGCAGCCTTCGAAATCTGAACTAGGCTTTTGTAAGCTGTTCAGGGAGAACAGCTTTCTTCGGGTCTTTGGCATCAGCCTCTGATCTCACCTGCTCCTGTATAAATGCCACAGTGCTTGGCAGAATTGCTCCATTTTTTGCATCACTGTGAGTGAAGTCAGGATTTGGCCCAAATACTTGTTACAAGCAGCAATGCAATTCCTTCCTGCTTAAGAGAGAAATGTCCCCTGACAGAGCCAAACGAAACCCCAGAGCTCTTGTGGAAGCTCACTGCGCCGGGTGAGGCCCTGCATTTGCACAGGTGAACTAACGGCCATGAAGAAAACAACATTGTGTGACTGGTTAGAAGAGAAACAAGTCTGCATGGTGCGTGGCACTTCTGTAATTCTTAGGGTTTTGTCGGCTTTACAAAGGTGGAAAATGCCTTTACTTCATCGCTCTGTACTAACTTCTGACAGAATTTGCCGAGCGTGACTTAATAGGGAGAAACATGGATTTGGGAATGAATTTGGGTCTTCTGAGTGCTGGTCGGCACCCACTGGCTACCTTAAACAATACTCACCAGAACTGATGTGGGAAATGTGTTGGATGCCAGGAGAGATGCAGTGCGGTTTTGAAGGGAAAGTTTGGGTCTGCATGAATGTCCTGGCAGAAGGGCCCAGATTCTCCAGCATGAGCCAAGAGCAATCTAAGGAGAAGCTGCTTAAATATTGTTCTAATAACTCTTCAAACCAGTTACTAGAAGCAATCCTGTATCTTTGGGATCACTCAGGAGATGTGACAATAACATAACTGGATGCAAATTGGGGGAAACGGGAGTCTCCCTGGGACCAAATCACTGTGACCACGGCACCAAGGAATAAAGGAACAGAAGTTTTTTGGCTACTCAGGATGCTCTTGAAAGACCTTCTTCTAAATCTCACACCAATATTTAATTCCTGAAACAAAATGTTTATGAAGTGTTTAGAGTTGTCTCAGTGGGTCAGGAAGAGAGCTTGAACTGCCCACAGTGGTACTCGGGAGGGAACAGGGTTCGCAGAGAACTCACGGATCACACTGGAAACGTGCGGTACTACGTCATCTGCCTGCTTTCTGGGGAAGGATGGCTGAATCCTGCCCCGAGGAAAACGGCACTCTGTGCCACAGTGATCCCCGGGATGCAGTAGCTGCAGACTTTGAGTTTCATTGCATTTAACGTGACGTGGGGGCACGAGTCCTGCGGTGCAGGAGCTGTGCAGCTCGTGGTGCCTGGGGAGCCAGGGTGGGGAGCCGGGGCGAGGGACGGAGAGGGCAGCCAGCAAACCCCAGGTCTGGGAAGGTTTAAATGGAGATACACTGGATCTGCTCTGCCTCCGGAGAGGCCTTACGCGAGGTCTGTTCTCTGTATCGCGTGCAGTAAATCATGGATGCCGATACAGTTTCAGAGTTCCTGTTCATTGTGATTAATACTTCTGTTGGCCCCTCAGCTAGCTTGTGTCAGTGGGATTCTTCAAACAGTCAAATATCAGGTATTACTAAGGGCAAACAAAATACAAATCTAGCTCCAGGCTAGACTAATTTGGTGACTAATTCATTAATACTTAAGAAAAAAATAAATGCTGCCTTTTTCTGTGAAATATGTATATGTATTTTATGCTGAAGATTTAAACAGTGATGCATTTCCTGGGAAACTTGCCAACATGCCTGTCAGCCTGACACTAGCAATTTAGGTCTATGTACCTTTGATATATAATTTATATGTAGCTGGGTGGATTATTGTACAAACCTTGACTTGTCTTTAAGAAGAAATGCAGCACCATCAATACTGGCACAACCTAAGGTCTTGGTGCTTCTTCTCAGCAAATAACATCCGAAAGGTCTTGTGAGCTTGCCAAAAGTAAAGACTGCTCAGCTGTTTAGATATTTTATGTGCTTTGTGCCGGCCAAAAGGTTTATCTGTTATATCTCCCATGGTAGCTAATTGAATGACGAGTAAGTGTTGTCATCTAAAGATGAAACAAAAGTCTCAACCGCTGTTAGAACAGAAGTCCTTGGAAGAGCAAAACTCTGGAGTCTCACTAGGAAAGAGATTGGTGTGCCTTTCTCTCTGGCCTCTACTTGCTCTCCTGCTGCAGTCACGTGGCACTGATTTTGTTTAGGATAATCTCTGAGCTTAGGGTGGCATTGATAGGAGTGCTTTTCCGCCCTTGCATTTACAAGGCACCCACTTCCAGGTTTGTTTCTTATACACGTGTGGGTTTGTCCCTCTGCAACAGATGTGAAAGGGAGAAGTTTTTCAGCTGAAATTCTGCTGCTGTTGCAGTCACTCTGCACTGTGTTTTGTTTTGTCCCCAGTGACACTAACTTGCTATGTGGCAGCCCTGAGGCAGCCACGCCAGGCACGAGGCGGGGAGCAGCCCTGCCATTTCGGGAGGGAGCCAGGGACCGGACCAGCAGCAAAAGGACATGGTGCCCTGCGGGCACCTTTGTCCTTTGCTGTTTCAAACTCTGGTGACAAACGGAGCGAGACGAGCAGCGGGGACAGCCCACACGCCCAGCCCGGCCGTGGGGCGAGTGTCGCTCCTGGGGAGAGCGGCCCCCTCTCTGCGGTCGCACACCCACTTACGTCGTCGCGCTTCTGCCTGCAGGTCCTCCACCCTGTAGACAGAGAGCCGGTTCACCCCTCCGCAGACGGAGCCCTTCTCCCCCTTGCACTCGCTGTTGCACTCCTCGGGCTTCGAGGCGGCCGCTGGGAGCTTGTTCCCGCAGTAGCACTCTGCTCCGTACGCCAGGCCCGCGTAGGTGTAGGCCCTGTGGGGAACAAAACCAGGCACTGTCGGTGCGGGCGCCCCGACTGTTCCCGAGTTCACACCTAACGGAGGCGGGAGCCTGTCCTCGTGTATGGCGTACGCTTGTGCCCCCTGCTCCAGGGACACAGCCAGCCCCACGTGGGGACTGGCGTGTGCTCCTCGAGGCGGGCAGCCACCTTGCACCCCAGGCGACGGCAAGGAGCGGTGGGGGTCAGTCCACCCGGCATGGCCTGCCAGGGACCAGGGGGTCCTTGGGAGGGTGAGGTGGGCTTTGCCTGCCGATGCGGGTGTCTGAGCGACAGCCCTGCCTCCAGCTGCATGGTCCCCGCTGACCGGCAGCTTCCCGGGCTGCGCTGGGCAGGGCCCTGCTCCTTGCCACGCACCCGGTCATCCTACTCGCTCCTGTTTCTGGGAGTGCTAGCTTGTTCATAGTGGGTTTAATACTTTAGGTCAAAGATTTGGGCTAGCGGGCAATATTTAACAAATATCTAACAAAGACCGTCTAACAAAACAGTATTTTCTGACAAGGACAACAGAAAATACATTGTAAGTAGCCCTGCTAAAATAAATAGGCAGCAGTGAAATAGTCTGCTTTAAGCAGGGTGGCAGAGCTCCTCGCCATGCCAGAAGGTATGAGACAGTTTTCACGGCTGCTGTATGTTTAACGTATGCATGCTTTTCCCATTTCAAACGCAGTTCAGAAAAGGAAAAAACTTGCAGTGAAAAAACATCACTCACCTCTCAGCACAGGCTTCCTGACAGTGAGATACTGTCATTTTTCTTAAGTCATAAAACACAGCTCCCTTCAGTGTCCTCTCCCTGGAATCATCGCTGAAGCATCCCATGTAGGTGCCTGTGTGCATGCGAGACCAGAGTTAGGCAACGCGCATGGGATGGAGATGGGGGAGAGGGAGAATCCCATCCAGCGGCAGTCCAGTGCCATCAGTTGCAAGCAGGGCTGTAGTCGATCAAGTCAGAACCTGTCTGGGGTCCTGCCTGCTCTGCAGACCTGTCGGCTGCTACCGAACCTTTGTAGGTGCTGCTGAAGGGGTAAGCTTGGCTGCCCAAACCTTTGTAGGTGCTGCTGAAGGGGGAAGCTTGGCTGCCCAATGGCCGTGAACAGGCGGGAAATGAGACTTTTCACTCACCCGGGTTCCTTCGAGCAGGCCTGCCTTTGCAGACCCAGAGTCTGCAACCGCCCCGGAGCCACAGTTCCCGCAGGCGGCTGCCGCCTGATCAGCTCCCTCCCTTCAGTGACAAAGCATGGCCAATTTCTAAAGTAAAGGAGAAGGTAGTCTTCAAAACGGTACAAAGTTCAAGAAATCTTGTTGGATTTCTCCCAAGTTTTCTTGAATATCTCTAGTTGATAATGAGATGGTGCAAGAGAAATATTAAGAAAATCAGTTTTCTTTGGGTACATAGAGTTACATTAAAGCTGTACTGGAAAGATAACTTCAGTCTTAACTAGGCAGCACTGTCTAGCTATCGCACTGAACTATCACCTTCCCACTGGTGCAAATGAATCTCTTAAAATATGTCTCGCTTTACTTAGCATATGAAAGATAAATATTTCTCTTAGACTGCATCCCATGTTAAACCTTTTTTTTGTTGTTATGAACAAAACACTATAAAACCCCAGCCCATTCTTTAATACACGATAGGAAGGATGGTGTGGAGTCTCACTGTTATGCAGCAGTTGTGTGTATATAAGTACATTTCATCATTAGAATATGAAGGAAAAAAGGAAATTTGATTTTAGGAGTAGCAGTATTGAGATGATAACACAGGGAAATTAAATAACATGAGCTGTGGACAGGAAGAGAATATATGATGAAAAACGAAACGAAAAAGCATTATATTAACAATAATATAATCCACAAGAAAGAGAAAGTTCAATCCACTCTCACAGAGATTTGGGAGGTAGGAATAATAAATCAAACATTTAAATACCACAAACACAACAGTAGGTTCAAAGACCTGCACGTTGGTAATTTGCTAACCTGCAATAAGAAGATTCACAAGCTGTGAATGTACACCCACAGCACGCTGTTAACGAGATGGGAGTCACACAACTGCAATAGGGGTGTTCTACATTTTACTGAGACTTTTGGTTTGGGTGCTTTGATTCAAACCAGTAGCAGCAAAAAACTCAGCGTGTGGGGCCAAAGAGCTCGAGTCTGGAGGCGCGGGCCGGCTGGCTGATGCAGGCAGTGGCCGCCCTCCTCCCTGCGTCCCCCGACGCTGCCGCCAGCCCGGCAGCACCTCTCTTGTGAACGAGTCACGGAGAGGCTCCGCGACCTTAGAGCAGAACGTCACGTCCGCGATCCAGTCCCTGTCACCTCTGCATCCCATGCGGTGGCATAACCAGCTCAGGGGAAAGTATGAAACACCCCATCTGCTGGAATTGTTTGTAACAGAAAATGTTCATTTTTTACCTAACGAATTCCTGTTTCCATTTGTTGCACTAATGGTGTTTGCCAGTCTCCCTGGCAGGATAAGATGCGGTCCCTGCACTGAGCCACTTGCAGTGTAAGCAGGCAAGATAGCTTGGCGGGGATGAAAAACAAGGGACTTTAATTTTCTCACCCGAGGCCGTGTGATCTTGGGTGGACCCAGAGCAAGGCCAAGTGAGCTGGGAGGTGTTCGCAATGTGCCGGAGCAGATGCCATCGGTTTTGGGTCAGGTCAGGGGTCTGCCCCGGGATGCCCGCTGAGGGCTGGCTCGCAATCCCCGGGCGTGAGCAGGGGCAGAGCGGCCGTGCCGCGGCGGGCAGCGCGGGCGCCGTTCGGATGGCGCTGAGGAGGAGTGCACAAACGCAGCCTCCGCGGCAGGCGATGTGCCCTTGTCCTGAGCGGGGCTGCAGGGCAACGCTGAAACTTCGAGCGTTATCCCCATGGAGGAGTTCGTTGGGCCATGGAAGGGATCCGTAGTGGAATAACAGGCCTGTAAGTTTACTAGGAGAAGTGAGGGGGGAAGATAACACGCTCTACATAGATAGTTACATTTTAATTGATAATTTCCACTGCTTGTTAACATTACTTTAATAATGTCACATCATGTTCAGGCAGATATTCAAATGATGCATATTTGAATCAACATAATTCAGTGGAATGTAGCAATAAATAGTCCTGGCCCCTCTCAGTCAGCAGTTAGAACCTGAGCAAGGCACTACCTTAATGGCTGATAGGGGCAGTAGCCTTAACCAACTTTATGGATAATTTTCAGAATTAATATTTTTGGTTTTAATTGAGGTTTTTAAAGAACAGGTTCATACTCTGCATGGTCAGAGTAGCTCATAAAGACTCACCATGTTTCTCTACTTTTTATCTATTCTTTCATTCATCGGGGGAAAGAAAAGTCACCGAACACAAGGGCAGCCCGGGCAGCTACAGTCCACAAAGGGAGAACCAGGCGTGCTGGCTTTCCGCAGTCCGGACTGGGGAAGAGGCAAAGGGTTTGTGGACACTCGCTGACTTCAGCGAGCCAGCTGTACTTCATTGAACCCACCGAAACTATCTGTGCTGCCGGAGCATGTGCAAGCGTGGAAGCACAAATCACGGGGCGTCCAGAGCAAGGGAACGTAACGTGCCCTATTTTGCTGTATTGCTTTCTCTCCTCCCCGCAGCGCGCCTGAACCCCTGCTTGTTAAATGGTCAGCCTCTGCTGAGCAGCTGAGACCAGGGTGTCTGCTGCTTGCAAAAGAGTGAAAAAATAATGTGAACAGTAAATACTGGTTTTATGAGGTACAGGTACAAAAGTGGTAGCCTGGAGGGTTCATGTGATTCCTTTCTGCAACTGTCCATGAAGAGCTTATTGAAGTCGGTGGTCACCAAAGTCAGCAAAAGGTGTGTTTGCTGAAGGTGAAATTGTGTCTTGCTCCTGCAGAGAGCTGGCGGTGCCTGCATCCAGCCCTTCCCAGCGGGGATGGGGATGGGGACAGGGCCCCTCCCAAAGCTTTCTGCTCCCCTCCACCAGGCTGGGTCACTGGTGCATGGGATGGAGTAGCTGCAACCTCCTGTTCCGTGCTAGTCCAGGGGCTGTCATTGGGCTCTGAGCACCTAGGCTATGTGCTCGGTCACGTCACGAAATGCAGTGGGGTTCTCTGGGGGACATCTGCACTTCACAGCCTCTTCTCCGCCACCAGAACCTGCTACCAATGGGATGTTATGAAGTGCCTGTGGAGCCCTCTCGAAGCTCCAGCTTGGTGCTTCAGGTAACTCCAGTGGTTACAGTCCGCCTGACTCACGCTGTGTGACTCATCCCCCAAACACCATCACTATCACCTTGTTCCCATTTCTGACAATTCACTCAGTAGGAGTTATGAGGTGGCACCCATTTTGTGGGATTTTTGCAGAAGGTGCCCCTTTGTTTGGGTAAATTTATTCAACAAACTAAAGAGCAGTTTAGTAATGTGGTGTCTAGTCATCCAGATCCCATTCCTTTATTATTGGTGAAACATCTCCAGGAACAACTAGTTCTTCTAAAAGGCAGTGGATCAAACGTCACAAACTTGTGATTTGACGCTGCAGCCTTGAGAGCACCGTCAGTCACCTAGTTTGAATCCTGATGCTTTCTGAGTTGGGCTCCTCAAGGGGGCTTGTCTGCTCCCTGGAGATGCTCAGCCTTCGGTGGTGACAGCAGAGCTGAGGTTCCAGTTCCCCACTGCACAGCGAGCGGCTCAGTGTGTAACAGCCCAACCCAGGGCATCCAGCTTTGTACCCCTCCCTGGAGCGCGTCGTGGCCCCAGCAAGGGGGTGCTGTCCCAAACTCGCCTGGGATGATGCAGCTCTCTGGGGCGGGTCATGAGGGTGTAAAGCCATGTGGGAAATGTGAACATCTACAGACTCCTGCTTTGCTTCTTTGCTTGCTCTGAATAATAGTTTCTTAAAAGCTTTCCTACTGAACAAGCCAAAGCAGTCCATGCATGTGTTTATCAGCAGCACTTAGGGCAGCAGAATCAGGCTCGCAGTGGAGCCAACTCACATTTCTCTCAAACCCGAGTGGCTTTCCCTTTGGATTGGAAAACATTGTACTCTGTGCTCTGGCCGCTGATACACTGCACCCGTGCAGAGGTGTGAACTCCCCTTGTGCTCCCCTTGGCCTCTTGCAAATTTCTGGCAAACTTGCCAAACTTGGAGACAAACTCTGATTCAGGAAGGCTGTATGGCTCCCATCTTGTCCCCCTGAGGACAGGGTGTTTGCACAGATGGTCACAGAGGGCAGGTCAGGAACAGTGAATGTGTTTGCAATAGCAGAATTTAGTGTATGCTAGAAAGCTGTAGCAGCAAGGAGGCACTTCTAGATGTAAGGTATGATGTGGTTTTAGATAGTTAATTTAATAAAACCCACTTTTAAAGTGTTCCCTGTTCTGAGAAAGAAAATCAATTAAACAGTGTTCATCTCTGCCTGCTTGAAGAGAAAACAATTTAAATTAGGCAAGCGTATTTCACTGTCTGGGCTTCCATTCAATCAATAAAATTACTTTTTTGGAGGAAGTTACAGCTCAGCCTGACCAGGGATGTCAGGATTGTACTTTGGCCTGTGCATACACTTAAGACCTGGTCTGAAAGTGGTGATGACGCAGGAGGAAGGCATTTCTGCAGGGACACTTCGTGGTGCTCACCAGTCTCTGCCTGGGACAGTCCTAGGAGGAGGTGCAATTTGTGTGTGTGCCAGAAAACGGGGCAGGGGTATGTCCCTTACCTTTGTGTTCAGCAGTGTGCTTCATCGCTTTAAATCCCGCTGCTTGCATGGGCTCCTGATCGCCGATGAACCTGTGAAACCACCTTCTTCTCAACTGCCTGAGCTCCGAGTTGCGGGACACGAGCCACCGCGGGCTGTGCCGCTGGTCCAGGGCCGGCTCCTGCAGTGCATCCATGCCCACCAGCAGCCTGGGACCGGGGCGGGGGTTTTGCAGCGTCCTCGGGTCTACAATCCCAACCCCGGCCATCCCGTCCAGCGCGGGCAGGGCCTGGTTAGCAGAGGGCCCACGCGAACCTTGCTGGATAACCAAGCGGGTCCGCTGTAGCAGCAGGAGGCTGCCAGCCATCAGGTAAGCTGCTGTGAGGAAGAAGAGCAGAAACTGGGTCCGACGGAGAAACTTCTGTAGCCTGAAGAAAGCTTTGGCCATGCCCTTACTGAACCCGGGCCCTTCACGCCTCCTGACGGGCCCCCGAATCTCTGCCTGGCCGGGCGCTGGTTCCTCCCATAAGTTCAGCCCATCACCTCGGTGCCTTCTCCCAACAAAACGCCTTCTTCCCAAACAGCCGCGGCAGAGGGAGCAGCCTGGTGCGGCACTGCCGCCGGC